GATTATCTTCGCTTGATTTCTTCCGTCATGACAATCTCCTTGGTGATCACGGAGCCTAAGTATGTGAATTTGTCCACCACTTCAAAGGTAGAGTTATCAACAGTGAATTGGTAGCCGATGTTTCAGGCTCTATTGTTGGGTGTTGAAGACATTATCTTACTTTTCTCCACATTTACTTGCAGGCCCATATTTTTTGAGGCATTGGACAAGGTGGTATACATTTCTTCTAGTTTGCGTGTTGTGGGGGCAACTAGGTCAACATCATCTGCATATGCCAAAGTTGGGATGATTTATTAAAAATATTTCCTCTGTTGTCTATTTGGGCATCACTGACCGCCTTTTCCAGAGCTATGTTGAAAAGGAGACACGCCAGCGAATCTCCGTGTCGCAGCCCAACATGCGTTTCGAATGCCTGTGATTGTTCGCCTTGTATTTCGAGTTTTTTCTTACTTAGATTTCGAAAATGTAGTTAAATATAGTTTGCATATATTTTATTTTTCATAAATTTGATTATTAAAAATACCTTACCTTAAAATAATCAATCGTTTTTTTTTTAATTTTTGTGTGACTAATTGTTTCTTTTTTGTAGAAATCTTCTCAAAGGTCATCAGGGCCGTTAAACAAAAGGGAAAATTGAAAACAAAAATGAACATAAAAAAGTTTTTGTTATGTGTTTATGAGGTTGATAACCAAAAACTGGAATAAAAATAATCTTATATCAAGGCACGCATTTCAATCTCTACCATTTTTAATTAAATGGAATATCCTCAATCTTTTCAATTCCAGAGTAGTTGTATCACCCTGCACTCCATCCTGTATTCGGGCTCATCACTCAAGTTACAAGCAGGAAAAATGTTCTCTTAAGTTTGTATCTACTTGTAGTGTGCACTATTAAATTTAAATTTAATTCAATTCAAAAATGTTTTATTGATTGAAAATACATAAGTACTAGGCTTCCTATAATAAAACAAACATTATTTTCACCATGACATATGGCCGTCTGGTAGAGTTGACCAAAATGCAAAATATAAAAACATTTTTTCCTTTCAATTCAAGTTCGAACAATAAAAATAAATAAATATTAAAAATGTTATTTAATTTCAATATACAGTGTGCGGCATTAGTGCGAGGAAGTACTCATTTCAATTCCGTTTTTAATAATGATAATGTGATTTGATTTGTAATTTAGATTATTTATGTAATTTATCAATATTAAAGAGGGCATCATTAAATTATTATACGATAGAACCAAATTTACTTGTTTTAATGAAAATTCGTTCTTAGAGGAAAACATTTGTTAACATCTGTTTTATTAAAAAATGATTATTCTTTATCGTTTATAAATAAGGAATTTTGAACAATCGACCGAATAGAAGAGAACAACTTAAAACGAGATTTTACAGCATAGGTACACAATGAATAATACGAGGAAAATAACAATACCATACACATAAGGATTATAAGAAAAACTGAAAAAGATAGGAAATAAATTCAACATTTCAACAACATTCAAAACAACAAACACATTGAGATCTATTTTATCTAAAACTAAACCTAACAATGAACAAGAAAGAACAAAGAATTGTATTAGAAAATACCTTGTGAATGCGATCAGTTTTATTTAGGTGAAACATCAAGGCCATTAAATGTTAGAATAAGTGAACATTAATCTTCTATTAAAACTAGAGAATTTGATAGATCTCAAATATGTAAACACGCATGAGAAAATTAATATAGGAGAATTTGGTGTTTATTGAGAGTAAACTAAATGTGAGACCAAATGCTTACCATGTCGGGATAGTATTATGAGTTTTTTTTCCTATTTTTTTCCTCATGATCTAATAAGGAATCACTAATAGGAAAATTTTATTGTCATTATGACGGATATTTTTAAGTTAAATTTGACTTCATGTAATCGAATGAACTATCTTACAATAAAGTCGTCCCAGGAACGCAACTCAGCAATATTGACAATATCATTTTAAAGTCGTTTACTTTAAAATGTATAATATATGTCTGAATTGTCAATATAAATAAGTCAGATAAAATTAAATTATTAGAAGAATTTTTCACCATGTAACAAAAAACAAAATTTGTTAAATTTATTAATGTTTGCATGTTGAGAACGATTTCTGAAGTAAAAATTGAAACGCCAATAAACTTCAATTGTTGCTTATTCCTATTAAAATATTAATAACTATAAGTTCTTTTATAACCCTGTTTTCTTATTTTAAATATACTTTTTGGGTTGAACAGTTGATCCACTGTAGATAATTACTCCCCATAATTTGCCTGGTATTCTAGTAAAACCTCTGATTCTGCCCACTTTCTAATTCTTCTTTAAAATGTGCCTTTCTTGTAGAGATGTTGGCGACCACATTGACCCATCTTATTCTATTCACAGCAGCTTGAAATAGATCAGTTGTCGTTAGACCAGTCTATTTCCTAAGATTGGACAGCCAGATATACGTCTACGTCCAGGGTCTCTCTTACCCCAATCTTTCCTGTAAAATCAACTGTAGAAGTCGGTATTTATCATTACGCATGATGTGGCCGAAGTAAGCCAATTTTCTGTTCTTTGTGGTGTTAATATTGATACTTAAACATAAATTGCAGAGAATCTTCCTAAGGCTATTGAAAGAGCTTCTGGCTTTTCAATACGAGTTTTCAATTCGTAGCTGTGATCCCAAGTTTCCTTAATATTGCAGCCCAAATGGCACATTTTTTCCACACTTTCTATTGGGGTATCATCAATTGTAATTTAGGCGTTTATACCGGTATTCGTACTAATGATCATTATATATGCCTTCTTGCAATTTAGTTTTAGGCCGCATTTGTTACATGCTACAACATTATCCATTATCCTTTGGAGCTTCTGCGCACTATCTGCCAGCAACACTGTATCGTCTGCATATCTAATGTTGTTTATAAGTTGGCCATTTACAGCAATCCCATCTTCTAATTTGTTCAAGGCCTCTCTAAAGATGTTTTCAGAGTATATGTTAAATAATGCCGGTGACAATATGCAACCCTGTGTAACTCCTTTTTCGACTGTGAAGATCTCGGACAGTTCAATTTCTAATCGTAATGTTGCTTTTTGTTGGAGATATAAGTTTGAGATCAGTCATATATTCTTACCATCGAGTCCTGATGTTTTTAGGATATCGATTAGTTTTTGATGTGGGACTTTATCAAATGCCTTCTCGAAATCAACGAAACATGCATAAATATCGCAGTTGACATCCCTGGCTCTTTGTATTAGAACTTCCAAACTAAAAAGTGCTTCTCTCGTTCCAAGTCTTGCTCTGAATCCAAATTAAACTTCACTCAGGTGTTTCTTCTAATTTGGTGTATATGCGCGAGTGAATGATAGTAAGGAATACTTTAAGTACATAGCTCATCAAACTAATTAATCTATGTTCTTCACATTTTCTAGCGTTGGCTTTTTTAGGAAGTGGAATTAATATTGATAGTAGCCAGTCTTTTGGTAAGTAACCAGTCTCGTAGATGTTGTTGAATAGCTTCGTAAGAGCTGTGATTTGGTATGACTCTAATAGCTTTAAGATTTCACCGTACACCTCATTAGGTCCTGGTGATTTCCCATCTTTATTCCGCTTAATCGCCATAGTTACTTCTTCGTTTGTTATTTCTGGGCCGTAGGGATTGTTAAGTTCAGTCAGACTTGGTGCTGCATCTTCGAATAATTCTTGCATATTTTATATTCTTTCCATCTTCGCAATTTATCTTCAATGGTAGTCAAAATTTGGCCTTCAATGTCTATAACTATGCCTGAATACGTTGTTGTCTAGTATTCTTTAATTATTTTCTAATTCTGCCTAGTAGCAATGACGAAAACAGTTTAACCACAGCGTTCAGGTAACTAATAGCTCTATATTTCATAACATCATATGGTGAGTTTTTCTTGTATGAACGAAAAATGATCGCTCCCCGGAGAAGAATCCGAAGCTGATACCGAACTAAATATTGCGTAATACAGAGAGATTTTTTATAAAACTAGATCGGTATTCTATAACCACCGGGAGCTTTATTATTCTTAAGGCTTATAAGCGCTGGTTTAATTCTCAATTGTAAATACTTCCATCCATAATTTCCCAAATGTAAGGATCAGCGCAATCAGCGATTCCATTTAGGCTACTTAAGAAATGCAGACGAAATGTGTCTAAGGAAATTGAGGCATACCTTAAAGTATTTTTGATTTTAAAAACTGCCTCCAAGATTCATAGCTCTTTAGGATCATATGTCCCACTGAGATCATCTCCCACTCTCAACAAATATTCCTTATGTTTGTGACGTCCTCTCGTAGGAGTCACTATCCGGGTAGCTGTTGGACAGTCAGAGACAGAGTTCAAAATAAAAATAAAACTTTATTGTCTTCCTTAAATTAAATTGACAAAAATCTTATGTACATATTTACAATTTGGTTTAGTCTTCTCAGTACCTGGCCTATTTATTCAAATTAAGTTTGACCTTTTCGTATGAAAATAGTATTATCGGCAAGCGAGTGTGTTTTTGAAATTTTACGTGAACGTTGTAACAGCGGACGATAGGTACAAAGAAAAGAAAGGAAAGGAACTCAACACGTTCCTGAAGTGATTCGGGTTAATAGGACACTCCTCGACAGTCTCAACACGACTGCTTCAGAGTACGGGTAATGAAGAGCTCAACACGCTCTCCGGGTACGACGGTATGGAACGGAAACAACTTGTGAACTCAACACGTCCACAAGCCGGGGTAGGGAAGAAGAGAACCTTCAGTCAACACCTGTCGGTTCTGCCTCTATGAGGAAATGTTGCGGTTTATATAGCTAAGTTTTGCCCTTTCTACTGTCGATACACTCCTACTTCATGGGTTGGTTCGCGCGCACGCTGGTTTAACGGTGATGGCTTGGACTCATCGTTACATGTTTCCTTCTAAATGTCTGTCTATACTCTCGCTTTCTCTATAACTACGTACTCCTCACATACTCTTTACCAGTTTTTCTAAATATTTTTAGGAAGTTCATCACTTGATCTCTGAACATTATTTATCAAATTATTCTCGTCGCTCTTTTCTTGCAAATGATTCTTTGCAGTTCCTTTAAAAAATGTTTGGTCTTATAAAGTTTATCTAACAGGTACTTACATCTACTTTTTAAAATTAATTTCATCAAGTTACGTTTACTTCAGTTTGGGCCATAACGGTAAAAAGTCTTCAACCTATACCTGTCATTAGCCATGTTAAGTTTCAGAAATTCTCCAATCTCTAGACTAAGTTCTTGATACGCTTGCCAAATCTATAGTAGAGCAACCAAAAGTCCCTACAAAAGTAACTTCTCTCCCATGATCTCCTGGAATCCTACTTTTTAAAACTACTAGATAATTTTCCACCTACGAGCATTTGATAATTTGACCTCAAAACTTCTTGTTCTAAGTAGCCAACATATTCTTTTCCTTCTACACCTATATCAAGACTAGACTCTTCCACTATTTTTCCGTTTACATCTCTAATCATAACCGTGAACACTTTATCTCTCTGCCAAAAGGTCCAAAAGAAATCCTTTTAAACTCAAAAATACCTTTTCCTCTTTGACCTTAGACATATTGGTACTATATAGAAGTTTTCTAATTTGTGGAGTACTTAATTCCTAAGCAGAGTAATAAATTGGCATTGCGAACTTTTCTTCAAAAAACTTTGAGATCTCTAAAACCTGCAGTGCCGAAAATTGCTGGCAAACATTAGAATTCCTGAAAAAATATTTTAATTAAACAATTCACTAGTGATTATCTTCTCAAATCAGTTTAAATTAAATTAAAAACTTATTAAAAAGCAAAAAGTAATTTTAATTTTAACTTTTTATTAGGAAAATATATGTAAATGTAAACATTAAGTTCTACATGTTTTCTTATATCCAGTAATTAGGCATCCTAAGCTTTCAATCAGGCAGTTTTTAGTTCTTTATCTAAAAAATAAATATTGGAATTATTTTTGAAATAAACAATCGAAACATTTATTTTACATAACGAATGTGAATTAACAGATTAACTAATGCATTAGATACTGCACAGCAGTACAGCCAAGAGAACAAGCTGGCTACATAAGTGGATTCAGTACCCTGGATCATATCCATACGCTTCGAGAACTAATTGGCATAAACTAACAAACAAGGCATTGACAAACCGTACATAGAGACTTTAGCAAGTATATACAAACAAGCAAAAGCTAAGGTAAAAAATTATGAAAACACTTCAGAATTTCCTATTACTAGAGGCGTCCGACAAGGAGGTCCAATATCACCAAAGCTCTTGACTGCAACTCAAGAAAATATATTCAGCAAAATGAACTGGCAGAACAAATGCCTATCCATTGATGGTGAATACCAAGACATTGTTCTGAGTGCTAATAATCTTGAAAAACTGCAAGAACTACTAAGCGACGTAAGTGCAGCTACTAATGAAGTTGGCCTAAAAATGAACTTACAAAAAAAAACAATATCCATGTACAACGAGCTAGTGAATGTCCAAGATTTAAAAATAAACAACACTGCACTTAAGACAGTAGACAAGTATGTATACCTAAGACAATTTTAATACATAAATCTCGCTACTTACTCCCAGAAATCAAGAGAATCATGAAACTGGCTTTTGGTAAATATTGAGCATGCTTTTCAAATTTTTGTTTCCTTGATTTATTGTTTTCAATAATTTGTGCAGCGCTTCAAAGGTTCTTTTTTTCCTAATCCTCTTCTCTTTTTCTTCGTTTGCTTTTCTTCTTTATTTGTCAGATATTTAACCCCTGCATCTTTTTGAAATTATACTCTTTACCCTCATTATTTGTAATAGTCTTCAGTTGTGTATTGAGAACGTCAATCTACACTAAAACTGCTAATAAACATTTGTGTTTAAAATTATCTCAGCTACATTTGTTATTTAAAAACTTTTTTTCTACCGAGTACAGATTTTTAAAACTGATTTTTTTGCTCTTTTAACCCTTTACGAGGGGGGTTTTAAAGGGAAGTCTGGGGGTAAAAGTGCTAAACTTTTTGCATCTTTTCTGGAGTCCCAAAATTAATATTCTCGATAAAATTCAGCTTGTTCGTATGATTTTTAGAGGACGACTGGAGTAACTAGACCATGCTGTTTTATATTTTTCCCAAATAATTAAAACATTCTCAATAACTCCCATTTTGTTCTTGCTATTAGTACTACTTCATCAGCAAACGCCAGAACCTGGCTTCTCTTGCTATAGATCATTCCGCTTTCTCTCATTATTACCTCCAGCAAGAAATTGAAAAGTACTGCTGACAACGTGTCCCCTTGATTTAACCTTTTTTTTGGCTTTAAAATTTCTTGTCAGACTACCTAATATCCTTACTCTATTTTCAGTTTGCAGTAGTGTAATTTTTACTGAACTAATATTTTAAATTTTTAAATTTTTCTTGAATTTCAAGTGCTTCTGAGAACTTATAGATATCTTATCACCAAGTCGTAAGCTTGCATGAAGTCGATAAAAAGAAGGTTTGGGTTTAGTTGACCAACGTAATGTTGTTGATTATTTTTAGTATAAAATTTTGGTGAATGATAGATCTGCCTTTTTCAAATCCTGCCTGGTATTCACCAACCTGCTCATTTAAGTACCTGTTTAGTCTGTTTCTTAACATTTTGGGGTATACTTTGTAAGTTATATCTAAAAGAGATGTCATTTATGTCTGCACTTATCTTCTTTTTCATGCTTTTCTTACTTCTTCAATGATTGGTGTTCTCATAATCGTTGCCTTTCATTTTAGTTCCACTTCCTCCTCATTGTTACCAACCAGTGAAATATAAAATGATCTTAGCAGGTACCGAAATAAGGGTTCTATGCGGTAAATAATCTACATTGCTCATCCTGCTACGCCATCATGGGATAGATAAAAGTGGCTTCCCACGATCGGCGATTCTACAGATCATCGCGGACAGCCGATCAGCACGGACGACAACGCACCGCAGACAGAGCTCTTCCTACGGTCCGTGACAGTATGTGTAGGTCCGGGACAGTATTGTTTGATTATATAATAAAAAGGCCACTCAGGCTTGTAAACATCATCAGCCCCACTTCCAGTTCCCATCGATCCTCCAACTTTTGTTTTTTGCCTTTTGTATGTCGGCATTAAATTATTTCTCTTCTTTTTTAATTCTTTAATCGAAATAGTACTATTCTTCAATTGATTTTTTATTCGGTTCCATACATCGTATATATCGGTTCCGTTTCTTATGCTCTGGTGCCGTAGAATTCCATAAATTTGTTTTATTTTGATACAAATTTAAAAAATCAAAAATAACTTCGTTTGTCCAATCCATTTTTTAGCAAAAAACTGCAAAACAACTTTGACAACACTACAGACAACTGTTGTTTGTTAAAACACAGACGAGCTAGGATCGCGAGCACAAGCATATACCGCACCTTTGATGTTACCGACTCTAGATGGATAGGACGCACCAGCACGAACGTGTCTGTGCTACCACGGACGAGACCTTTCCCACGGTGCGTGGTGCGGGCTGGTCCGCTTACGTCTGCAATATCGCCGACCGTGAGAAACCGCTATTACACTTACAAGTTAACACTTATTACATCTTAATCGTCAATAAATTAAATAGATTAAATTTACGTTGTAACGAGATCCATATCTCGACATTTAGTTATTAAAGTTATTATTCCATATCTCGACAATAAGTCTACTCTCCTAATTTAATTGTTTAAAGTTTTTATAATCGTCCTTGCTTATGACGATATCGGTCAGCTTTGTTGTGCATGTGTAGTAAGCAAGGCCGCGCTTAGATTATTTGCAATTATGCAAACTCAGGTATTTTGTTAAATTTGACACACTGCGTTTGTCCCCGATTTTGATTGAAAACTATTCAAATTAAAAGACCACAATATAAAACATTACTACTATTTTAGGAGTAATATCACATAAGCATTACTTTTGTAAAATACTTACTATTATTATTACTTTGTCTTGCTTTCTTAGGAGATGCCCTTCCTCCAAATACATATTTTTCTACTATTACAAGAGGAGACTCAAAACTTAAAGTCCAAATAAATGAGAAACCCAGTGTTACTATAAAAAATGCACACCATAGTTTGAACTAAAACATATTTATAAAAATTAGATCTTCATATATTATTATTTTTTATATCATGTATTTATTTAAATAGACAGTTATGTAATATAATTGTAGATATTATCACCAACGTCAAAGAAATATACAAAGCACTACGTGAAATGAGAATTAGTAAAAAACTGATAAGAATGGTGAAGGTGACACTCCAAAGAACAGAGAATAGGGTTAAAATACATGGCGAAGAAACAGGTAAGTTTGAGGTCAGTGAGGGGGTGCAGCAAGGAGACCCGTTTTCATCGCTGTTGTTCAGTATAGTGCTCGAAGTTACCATCAGAGAAGCTGGAATCAACAAGTCAGGACTTATATATCAAAGAAAACACCAATGTTTAGCATTCGCTGACGACATTGTACTGATAGCCAGAAGTAAGAAAGAATTAAAAGAAATAATAAAAAGATTAAAAATGAAAGCTAGAAAGAAAGGGATGTACATAAATGAAGAAAAGACTAAATATATGGAATGGGCAGAAAGAGATTACCGACAAGAACAATATCTGACAGTAATAACAGATGAAAAAACATATAAATTCGAAGAAGTAGAAATATTCCAGTATTTAGGAGTGACATTCACGAGAAGACCAAATATGAAGGAAGAAATCCAAGCGAGAATTATGGCCGGTAACCGTTGTATTTTTGCACTAAACAATTTATTAAGAAGCAAAAACATATCTAGAAGGGCTAAGATAAGAATATATAAGACAGTAATAAGACCTATAATAGACAGTAATAGACCTTATATTGTATTATATGCCAGTGAAACATGGACAATGAACAGATCCGAGCAAGTCTTGCTGCAAGTCTGGGAAAGAAAAGTCCTCAGGAAAATATTTGGAGGTAAATTATGGAATGGTATATGGATAAAAAGACCAAATATGGAATTAGAGGAGATGTATGGAGAACCGAATATCGTAGGGATCATAAAGTCACAAAGACTGAGATGGTTGGGATATATTCAAAGGATGGGAAACACGAGACTGCCAAAAAGAATGCTAATTAGAAGAATAGGAGGGAAAAGGAAAAAAGGCAGACCGAAAACCAGGTGGAAGAAGGATGTTGAAAAAGACATAGAAAAACTTAAAATACCAAACTGGAAAAATAAAGCAACAAACAGAAAATAATGGAAAAGAATAGTAAACCAAGCCATGGGCCTTCTAGGCCTGGAGAGCTAGATTATATATATCATCAACGTCACGAGCAAGTTTAGGCATAGTTGCGGTTGTAGAAATAGGTTCTTTTATTTGTTTGCATATCTTCTGGTTCTTAAATTTGTTTTACCATTACTTACTTTAACTTATTCATTTCATGTTTAAATATATTGAAAATCTAGAACATAACACTATTATATTCGAAAACTTGTCTTTTTCTTCGCTGTGGACTAAGGTATGTGAGCCAAATATTGCCACCTTAACGTTTGATTGTAAATAAAACTTAACTTTTATTAATAAATGAAATCAAATTTGAGTAGTAGAAACAAAATGTATTGTCTAACAATATATATTAATTATATCAAAAAACTAAACAGAAACCAAAATAAGAATACTTTTTTATTGACGTTAAGACGTCAATATTAAGCACTGGAGAACTACAGTTAAGACTAACACATTTTTCTGAAAAAATGAAGGCAATTAAGTAGTATAAACGTAACAAACATTTCTGAAAAATATGACTTAAGAACATTGAGGAACCTTTCTTTGCCATATTTAATCAGTCCTACAAAGGTCTCGTGAACATATCGATAGCACACTATGCACAAGCGCAATCTTTTTTACTGCAGATGTTACAAAGGAAACAATACCACGATTATTCTTTCCTTGATTTTATTATCGTACTACTCATTGCTTTTTTAATAACTTTGATTGCATTATTTAATTTTGGTATTGGTGCGATCAAATCCTTGGTAACTTGCTGGGATTTCCTGTTTAAAGCTGGCTTCCTTTTCACTTTAAAAGAACTGTTTAAGCATTCGGAGTCAAAAGTTGTTACTTAATTAGACCTCGGATTACATTTTGTTGTTCCTTTTGTAACCGTATTGCCCTTCTGTTTGGATTTTAATTCAATTACTTCTCTGTTTGATCTTGCGTATGTTCGTCTATCATCTAGGTTAGTTCTTTGCAGCCACTTCTGATATGCTTATTTCTTGTGGTGTACTGCATTAGCGATGCCATTTGTTCACCACAATGGAGTATCCTTTTTGTTCCTTTGGATCGTGACGAGTGCTTCATAAGCTGGTTTATTGACTTTATTTATGATCTCTTGATAGGTATTCTGAGCTAAAGAGTAGAAAAGGTTTGTTAATTTTTGGCTAAGCCGTAACTTATATAACAATGATGTAAAAAAATTTTATGTAAGATTCAACTTTTTTAATGCATAATATGTTTGAGTGTTTTTCTTTGGTTTTAATTTCTGTTCGTTTGTCTGTAACTACATGTGTTTATATTTGAATGCGCTAGAGTTTCAACGCTCTAAACTACTTCATACAATATTTCGCAAATATATTTACATTTCCTAAATAATATATTATCCTTACCGCATTATAATGGCTAAAAGATATCTTCGTACTAAACTGCGAAGAAACAAGCGTTAAGACAATCCCATGTACGAGATACATACAGTAAGACAACTTAGCTGTTATCTGCAGGATTGGTCTGCTTAGGATCCAGTTAACTATTCCTGCAAATATATAATATTAATATTAATTAAACACTAAGAAAAACATATAGTTATAGCATGATAAAAAAAGGACGAGAATCCAATGATAAATTGTCTTTGGGATTTATAGGCAGTGGAATTACTTCATGCATAAGTCACGTAGAAATTAAGAAAAGAAAAAATTATAGCTAAATTTAAAACCTTTTTTATTCCACAAAGAAAAATTCAACACTATCCCAATCATCTGCACTGTGCGGCAATCATCAGCAAAATGTAAACTTTACATTCTTCGAATAGCTCAAAGGGATAGAAGCCGAATTTGTTAAATCGTGTTTCGTTTATCGTCACCACAATAGATGGCACCTCTTGTAGCTTCCACGACTTGTGCGAAATAAGCAGTGTCATTCGTCGACCACCTGTGTATGAATTTGTATCTTTCCCGGATCTCTGATGAAGCAGGATATATGCAGAAATATTCTTATATTATATAAATCGGTATCAATAAAGTGTTATGATCATTTCGGCCTATCCCAGCCTCATCAGACACTTGAGCTGATACAAATTCAAACTCGGAAAGTCCAACGAATGTCTCCCAAAACTTCACTACACCGTAGTTAGCTTACAAAGTGTCTGATGAGGCTGGGATAGGCCGAAATGATCATAACACTTTATTGATACCGATTCGAGCAAGGGAAGTTTAACGAATTTGTCCTCCTATGCCATATATTTTGCCATTTAATTTATAAAGCCATAATAAATTGCTTAATTTTTACTTACCTCCGTAACCATGATAACATGAGTATGTTATCCAGCTTAATCCTAGACACCAAATTGGTTTTGAAAAACTATAGTATAAAGCTTGAACAGTTTGAGAGTGCCTCAATGAATAAACAAGCTCCTGATATAGAACAACGCAAGCACCCATTGAAATTAACACAATAGTCCATATAACAAAATTCAAGATCTGTAAAATATAATTTTATTTCAATACCAAAATAGCCATTTATTAAACTAGTACTCTGCTCAGAAAAGACTGAGGAAGTTTTCAGAAGTCATCTATGCTATTAAAAACATAAAATATGGCAAAACTACTGGACCAGATGCTGTGTCCATCGAATTATTAAAACTCATTGATGAAGATGTTATTTATGTAATGGTTGAACTCTTTAATCTAATATATCAGACTGCCCCAATCTCTAGATAATGACTGCAATCGACCTTTGTGGCAATTCCCAAAAACTGCCAAAAGAGGAACAACTAGCTCACATCACAGAAGAATAGCTTTAATGAGTCACAACCTTAAGAAATTTTTAAAAATAATACACAGTAGAATTGTTAAAACTCTTAAATATGAAATTAATGACACACTTTAGAAACGGTACGACCACAAAAGATGATTTCTTTAGCTTCAATGTGCTGGCCTAGAGAAGCATGGATATACATCAGGACATCTCCTTATGTTTGGAGACTTTGAAAAGGCATTTGATTCACCATGAATTGATACAACATAGAAAGCTTGTAGATATATTAAAAAGCAAAAAAATTGACAGTCTTGATATGAAAATTATATTTAATCTATATTGGAATCAAACTGCCAAGGTCAGAGTTGACAAACAGAACACTCGAGATAATAAAAATACAGAGATGAGTCCGCCAGGATTGTGTGCTGTCCCCACTACTTTTTAGTGTCTACAGTGAATCGGTATTTAAAGAAGCGCTCTCAGATTCAATAGTCAATGCATGCTAATGCTGGCATGCATTGACGAACTTCCGGTAGAATACGCTGACATCCTCGAAGCTACTCAAATAGCTTACAACTTACAGAACATATCTTTAACTTCCAATTGCTGTGTCCAAGTGTGCCCTTTTTTCTTATCCCGGACAGGGGGAGATTGGTTTTTTTGCGGTTTTCCAATCTCACTACTTAACGATACCTATCGATCCTTGAGAAAATAGCCATAACTATTTTCTCACCTGAGCCGGCAGCTGCTAGAACCGTCTATCGAACTCCGAAAAGGCCTATAGTGCAATACATTAGTTCCGAAGTTGATCGTAATAGCAAAAACGGCTTGCAGAAACAATGATTACTAGATAACACGGTTTTAGGCTCTGCTGACTCAGACTCGCATACATTCAACACAAAAAATATATTCACACAAATCACACTCACACTATTCCAACAGTGAAAGGGGTCCTCTTTCTGCTACCGAAGCATCCTCATCACCGTGCGGCCGACTGCAGCTCCCGTTACTTAACACCGGGCTTGTAGACGGAAGGGGAAAATCCAGGTGATTCGATGGAGCTAAATTACATCGAAA